CAAGATTATGAGCAAGCTGCTAAATATTACGCTAAAGCAGCAGGTCACGGTAGTGCAGCCGGGATGTACAATTTAGCTCGATTGACCGATCTTGGTTTGGGCGTTAAAAAGGATCATGATATGGCTCTTAAATTGTTTGAACAGGCCGCTACACAATCAACAGAACATCCTAAATTTAAAGATCGCCCGAACGTTGGCGTAGCTGAAGCCGAAAATGCTCTAGGTCTTCGTTATTCTGAAGGTGTTGGAGTTCATAAGAACCCAGCACATGGTGTTCGTTGGTATCATCGTGCTGTCGAACATGGTAATGCTGAGGCAGCAAACAGTCTGGCATTAATGTACCAAGTTGGTAAGGGTGTTGAAAAGAATCTTGAAAAAGCCGAACAACTGTTCACATTTTCGGCTAGAAGAGGTGATCCAAATGCTATGAGAAATTTCGCTGAAATACTACTCGATAAAAACGACTTCGAAATGGCACAAACATGGTTTAATCGAGCATGCGAATCTGGTAGCGTTCTTGCTCAAATAAAACGTGCTGATTTTGAGACGACTTTAAGAGAGAAAAAACAACTCATGGCTAGTTGTCCATCCAATGTTGTACCAATGCTCAATGCAGTAAAAAATGCATGGAATTCCTTAAAAACATCAAAATCCATTTGTGAACTGTCTAAAGGACGATCCAAATATGATTTCAATGTTCTAAGCAAATATGCGAATCAAGGTTCAATAACGGCTAAAAGATTATGCAACGCACTAGAACATTTCTTTATAGCTTTGACAATACTAATCGAGTCTGACACGTTGACAGAACAACAAGAAGATACATTAGTGCATGAACTTGCAGAATGCTATCGTCTGGAAGATATTGTCGCACAATTTTCTGACTCAGAGATGCGTGAAAAAGTTGGGAAAATCGTTGATGAAGTACTTCGTCGATGTAGAGAAATGCCAGATTATCCTGCATCACAACTTGATGAAGATGCTCGAGTCTGTTACGCTTCACTACGCATGGATTCACATGAATTAATCGACCAATTTTTGAATTCATGCAAACAAAAATATCCTAA